TATTTTATAATTTGTATCATGTTGAATTGGATTGTAATTACAATATCTATATTAGAGGGTTTTTGTCTGGCTTTTTTATTATCTGTTAAATGGTTCCTGTGAATTGCATATTTTTCTAATTTAAAGGGTTTTCATTTTATTACTGTCATAGGTAATGTGTTAGCCTATCCTATTCTAAAGGAGATAAGAAATCTGTATTGTTTTTAGTATATATTTATATGCATTTTCATTTTGGTTAATATCGGTATTTTTCGTTTTCTTTGCTTAAGGGTAATTTGTAAAGATGTGCGTGTGTACCTGTAATGCTATGTTAAAGGGTTATTTTTATGTATTTATCATCAACAGAGTTTATATATATATATATATATCAGTGTTTAATTGTTCTTTTGCGGTATTGTATATTTCTTGGTTAAAGGATTTGTATTCGTAAGTGGTTTCATCGTTAAAGGTCCATCAATGTGATTATACAGTATTTTCATAGCTTAAGGATATCTTGATGCAATTGTGTGGTACGTTTTCTTTATTCAAGGGTAGTGACGTCTGTGTTTTCAGGAACAAGGAAGGATTAATGCATTCCTTGACCAGTGCAAATTTAACTTATTGGTTATAAAATTAAAGTTAATTGTTAGCTTCAGGGCAAGCCTGAAGTAGAGAAGACCAGAAAATGTGCTATACGAATACACCACGTGTTTCTATTTCTTGTAGTATTACAATAGTATTCTGAATTCATTTTCTGTTCTGAAAATGTGCTGGTTTCATTTAACAAAAACTGTTATGTTAATTGTGTTTCAAGTTACCTTTGTTGTTCTTGGAATTAGATGATACCTGTTACCACCCAGGAAGAATTGCTTAATATGACAGATTATGTAAAGATGTAGACAGCAGCATCCTTCAAGGGTCATTCATGTTATGTGTAGAAGATATGGCCCAACCTATGTTGTAATGAGAACGACCAGTTACATGGTATCACTATTTGTTCTGGATACATGAGAGGTTTTTGGCAAACCAAGGAATGCTTATTTAAACATTGTGGTATAGGATTTCAATACAAATTATTGTCCAATGCAAGTAAAACAACAAGCACTCACACCTGTTTTTGTCACAATAGCAATTGTGAACATTGTTTTACATTTTTCAGACTCGGTCAGTAAGAGATTTAGTCATATTACATAATATCAAGATTGAATCTCCAGTTGTCAAGTATACATATCCACTGTAGCTATAAAATTAATCCAGTTTTACTTGGATATATCACACATCACAATAGAAGATAGACACTAAAAAGTTTCAGAAATAAATAGTAATTAATAATGGCTGGAGACGGCTTGAATGGATAATGAAGAAAAACTTTAATATAAGTTTAACTTAAAAAGTAATTAACTTAAGTGGTGACAACAACTTTTGTGATTGTGCGTTTGATTGTTAAAATTTATTCTTGCAAAGATATCACTGTAGCAATCCATGTATGAGTCGTGTATATCTTGCTATAGTCTTTTAGCAGGTAGCGATGGAAAAGTGAGAAGCCATCATATAACTTCTGTCTCCATCTTCAATCTCATTGGACTATTAATTTGGAAATGTCAATGCTTTCTCCATAAACTCTGTTTCACTGCTTCATTCTGTTGCTCTTTGGAAAATGCTACTTCAAAGCAAGGTTCCAACACAATAGTTAAGGTGGAAATTTAGATGCTTTGTGTTTTAGCAAATCCGTTTTAAGCCCCTCCCATAATACTGCTTTCATTGTTCCCAGTCCAAAGTGGCTTGTGTTATCCTTCAACAAATAATGATAAAAAATAACTATACACCTGGAAAAAAGTTAAGCACCCCCCGTGTTTTTTTCAAGTGATTCAGATTCGACGTTCTTGTGACTGATTATAAATTACCATTCAATCTAAACGTGTTTATCAAATGAAATTATGCATTACTGGGCACAAGAAAACAAGATTATCACCGTAAA